TGTCCTAGGTACTGGGAAATAGAGAGCGCAGATGGCCATGCCTCTGCTATGATGGGGCTTCCTTTCCACAGGGAGACACAGAGACGGAAGTGGGGTGGGGAGAGGGGAGGGTGGAGAGAGAGGAGAAGAGGGAAGAGGAGGGAAGGGAAAGGAAGGAAAGAGAGGTGAGAAAAAATAATTTCACACTGTGATATGGAGAGAAAAAAAAATTCCAGTGGGATAGAGTGACTGGGAGTGTGCACGTCTTTTTTAAAGGGTATTTCAAAGGAAGGGTGTTTCACCTCTGACGAGGTGACAGTTGATTCTAGATTTGAAAGATGAGAAGAAACCAACTGTATGAAGATGAACATTCTAGGCAGTGGGACCAACAGTACAATGGTTCTGAGATCTGGCTTACTAAAGGGGCAGTCAGGGGCAAGACAAGTAAAGAGAAAGGACCAGGAAATCAGGGAAAAGAAAGGCAGAGATCAGATCATAACAGACCTTGAAGGCTGTGGTAAGTAGTGTAGACTTTATTCAAAGGGCAATGGAATATTACTGGAGGATTTTAATCCTGGTGGTGAAATAATCTTATCTAAGACTTTAAAGCTCAGTTTGTCTAGGTTGTAGAGGAGCAGAAGATTAGCAGGGAGACTAGTCAGGAGGCAGATGCAAGACACAGAAAAAGAGATGTAGAGTCAAGTTGTATTTTGCAGGTAGAAACAGGATGTAGGAGAGAGAAGCACCAGGGAGGATTCCTGGATTTTTGCTTGAAGCAAATAAGTAAGTGGTAGTGCAATTTGCTGAATGTGGAAGACTGGGGAAGAAAGAGAACTGTCCTAATTTTGGAGATCTTAGCATATAGATGGTATTTAAAACCACAGATAAGTTAAGGAGACAATGTAGGTAATGAAAAGAAAAGGTTAACGATTAAGCCCAGGGCACTCAAACATTTAATGGTTTGACAAGGAGGATTCAGCCAAGAAGTCTGAAAAATAAGTGGCCAGAAAGAAAGAGGAATATCAACAGCATATGTTATTGCAAAACAAGTGATGAAAATGTTTACTGAGGGGAAGTGACTGACTATGTCAAATGTTTTGCTAAGAGGCTTACTAAGATAAAGACTGAGAATGGACCAACTATTGGATTTAGCAACATGGTGGTAATTGTTCCACCACAGAGGGAATGGATGTTCAACTGGAGAGAAGCGAATAAGAGGTCAGGAAGCAGAAACAGTGAATATTTTTTAAAAATTGGGGATAGATAAGTGAACACAACAAGGTCCTTGTCTTCAAAGAGGGCCCTTGTCTTCAAAGGGCCCTTGTATGTGTAAGATAAATCTTTCATCAACAATCTCGGAAAAACATGCTTTGGTAAAAAAGGGGATAACATATACGTTAATACATACTTTATAAAGACCTGTTACTATAGAAAAGGAAAAAAGTTAAACTATTTTATTAAGAACACAAAATCTTCAATGCATCAAAAATTTTATCATCAGATTTTCAGGTTGTTTGTATACAAACTAAAAATAGATTTTATACATCATGCCACAAATTAAAATGCTCCAGTATCATTGTTCAGAATATGACTACTCAAAAAAGAACTCACAGACATTTCTTTGTCCTATTTCCAAAATCTTCCTAGACAGGACATTAGACAGCAACCACATACATAATACATGGGGACTGAATAAGGTAAATGTGAACTTTGCAACAAAAAGTCTGAGATTTTATGTAATTATAGGCAAGCTGAATGAATAGTTTAGAATAATGTACCATTGTCATCAAATCATATCTTCACATGCATGTGTAATCCATTTTGCACAATGATTTCAACTCAGTGTGTATGTAATTAAATTGTAAGGTGCAGCAATAGCTGCTTCTCCGTTGAAATTTTGCTTTTCCAGTTTAAGGAAATGAATAGAAAACATAGTCTGGTGAACATCAAAGTATTTTTTTTTTGAGACACTCAAATCTCATCAAAGAGGTCTCCTGGACTACTGTTTCTTAGAGTTTCTAAAGACATGTTTTCAGCTGGGCTGTGATCCTTTTTCATCATCTCAGGTAGTAGAGGATCAAGCCTAGAGTAAAAAGAAAAATCAAGATAATTTTACTTTGCAAACTACATATAGAGTAGAAGAAAATTAAGAAATACATAAGTGAAATAAAAGTTAAGCCCTGTTTCAAAACTGCTGTATTAACATAAAGAGAGATGAAAGGAATTTAATTTTTTTAACTGCTTTGGAATTAATCTGCCTCTATTTCGAGCCAATGAAAATTCAAGGGCCTACACCAATATTCATAATTCAGGTCAAGAAATAAAATATCCTGTGTGTTGTAAGTATTTTTATGTCAAGATATAGAAGGTTTCTCAAGCCATTTCTTTAATACTTCCATCACAATTTACATTTTCCTTCACCTCCCTTAAATCCTAATATGCATGTTAATCTCAACTGCAGAAAGTTCTGAACACACAAAGTTTTCTGAGTGGTCATTTGATTGTAAGTGTGTACATAACTAATAATGACTTCACATTTTAGCAGCTGTTGAGGAAATGCTGTTGGTTCATTCATTTACTGAATCTACATATCTTCATTTAGTAGCTGTATTTATTCAGTTTCAGTACTGTAGTTACTACATCAATGGACTGACCTCTATATTTATGTAAATGTTCTCTTTGAGTCCTGGGATGAAAGGCATGATGACTGACTGTTAACTGGTCTTACAAGTGGTGGGCTGGAGGGTAGCAGAGCTCAACCAGGAGAGCTTAGGAGTGTATGTTTATACCCTTATATAAACCTTGTCTGAATCCACCCAGTAATACTCAGGAAAATCCCCGTATTTCCAACTATAAAGGCAGGAATATCGTAGCAGCTTGGTATAGCTGAAAAAGAACAGGACTAGAGCAAGACACACAGATTTGAATCCAGGTCTATTTCTCACTAGCTATGTGACTTTAGGCAAGTCATCTAGCCTAACTGGACTTCTGTTCTCTCACCTGCAAAACAGAGATAATAATTCTGCCTCAGAGGCAGTCTGAAGATTAGGTGAGATGTTGTAAATGAAAATGCTTGTAAATCCCCACAAAACATTTAGAAACTATTATTATTAGCTCCTAATATTGCATAAGCTACAAAATAATTCTTGCTAATAGCTTCTTTAATTTAAAAGAATAACGAATTAAAATGCCCAAGTGTTCAGCATGTTTATATTTTAAGTGTTCTAAAAAGAAAGCTTGCACCCATATTTAGTTGCACATATTATTAAAAATGAATCCACCACAGGGTCCTCCTTGGCTTCATGACTGCACACAATTAACCACGGCTGGCTTCCACTAGACCTGGGACGTGTTCTGTCTTATCCCCACGCAAGCTGAGTTCAGACAACATAACCCTCACAGGAATGCCGAGATACTAGGCATTAATGCGTTGTCAAGATGACAAGTACTACCCTCTGGGAGTTTCAGTGTTAAAATTAACAATAAATACTGACATAATTGCCGTGACATGTAATTAAATATCTAAAAATATATTCCACATAAGGAGAAAATGATACAGAACAGAATAAAAGTATAATCACTACATGTGTAAGTCCTCAATGTCAACTCAAAACACATTAGACATTTTTCTCTATCCCTAAATGTCTTAAGAGTTGCTTTTTATCCTCCTAGCAAAACAGAGAATTGAATTATTTCAATTAAAAAGTCAGGCGTGGGGAAACCTCTAATTTTGTTCACAGTCTAGACATTGTACAACCAGAACGCAGAGATCTACCAATCCAGTTTTTAAAAAAATCAGCATAGGACAAAAGGATCACTCTGAAGAGTCAAGTCTGAAGGAAATAGATCCCTGGTGCTCCATGTATGTTTCCCATCTCTTTCTAAGGTCAAGAGGAACCTAAGAAATAGCTTTTGACTCTTCAGTTCTCTGTGCCTACTACATAATAGGTGCTCAGTGAAAGCTGTTCAGTGAATGGAGATCACTGTTCTACAGCTTTCATATTCATGGTAAGTTAGAAGAGTAAATTCAGAACTCTTCCCACAATCAAAAAGCTAGTCTAAGTATTTTTATAAGTAATATATGTTTATTGTAAGACTTTATAAAAATTCTGAAAAGCATGAAGAAAATTAAAACATCCATCATCCTATTTTGTATTATTTGTATTTACAAATGTTTTTTCTTTACAAATATGGGATCATTCTATATATATGTATATATGTATGCATATACATGGAACTTTGCAGCTTGATGTTTTTACCCTATATTCGTGATGTCTTTGAATGTTGAAAAATATAGATTTCATTCAGCATTAATTTTAATTTGTTCATACTAACCATTAATCCACTGATGAATATTTGGGTTAGTTCTATTTTAAAATCCATTATTAACAACACAACAAATATTATCCTTATACATGTATTTTAGCATATTTATCACATCATTTTCCCATGAACATGCTTATTCCAAGAATTCATGCTTAGGTGAAATTCAAAACCAAATAACTCAGAGAACTTGTATCTAAAGTCTTAGTAAAAAGTGAGCTAAACAAGTAATTTGAAACTTAGAACTTGGGAGTTCCTTTCTTTCTAATTAAATTTTAACCATTAGTTACTATGGTCCATTTTAAATTCTAAATCTTCCATGAAGACTTTTTTTTTTAACTTTCTACATTCAGGCTGATTTTTATTTTTTCTAATCACTCAAAGTACCTAACATCTGCATCCAGTATTTCAATATATAGTTTAATTCATTTAATATTTTACTATGATTAGCTCACTGTGTTAGGAAAATATAACAAATTTGATAAAAGTAACACAGGATTCCTGCCCTCAGGAAGCTTTCAGTTAAACTTTTTACTCTCTCTATTTTTTTTTCAAAGACTTTTTTCATCCTAAATACTTTAAAAGTAGCTTGAAGGCAAGGACTATGTGATATAATTTGTTGACAAACAGTGATTTATTCCTTCAGGAATTCTATAAACATATCAATTTAGGATTCAAGTAGACTTTTCAGACAGTTTTTATGGATAACATGATTCACAGGAAGAATTCTGAATTCAAGGTTAGGAGATTTTTATTTATGCTTCCCCATATTAAGATTTTGGTCAGGTGGCTGCACTTTTCTGGATCTGTTTTTTAACGTAAGTTGTGGAAAGTTAGGATTACTACAAATGGTCTTGGAGTTCTTTCAGTCTCTGAATTCTAAGACATTTTTGCTCAAATAGTTGAGTATAGACTACTTTGCAAAACACAGATTCTCAACAAATATCTGTGGAATAAATGAAAAATGTGAATTAAAAAGGAAAGATTAATGACAGAAGAAGAAACTATCTTTGTAGAGTTAAAGGTTAACATATAAGGATTTTTCAAATAAAGTGAATCAATGAAACTTCTCCAAATGATGACAGCCTTACTAAAAATGGCTTAGGTTCTTAATACTATAGTTACAGAGAGTTCTATGTTTTATTACTTGACTTCACATTGCATTAAAACACACATACATTGTAACATGAATCAAAGTGCAATACTACCATCTAATTAACAATAAATCGTGTAGATCAAAAGTCAGATTTGTCAAAAGAAGTATCTCATCCTGGGAAAGCTTCTCTGAAATGTTAGAATGAATGACTGACTTCTCTTTTACCTTTCTGGGAGTTAAATTACCAACATTTAAAAAAATCATGTATCCAGTTATTGGCTCATTTTGTAAAGACATTTTCTCAGCCAAGTTTAATATTGGTATTACCATGACTAGAATATCAATCTTTTTTTTTTACATTTTTTATTGATTCATATAGAATATCAATCTTATTCAAATGAGAAGCATTAGTATTGTTTGGAATTAATTACTTGCATTTTGTAACATATTCTGAGAATATTCCTGAAACAGCAAGGTGCCAGTGTGAGCAAACTGAGAGATCCAGAAAAATGTGTAATGACTGATGGCACTGTGACACTTGAAAAATCATTCTTATTTGAGTATGACACAAACAGTGGTTCTGAAGTCAAAAACCAAAAGTCAATTTGTATGTGGCTTAATTATATCTCTACCTTCACAATACACATAGGATTCAATTCCAGTTGAATTAAACATTTAAACGAGAAAAGGCAAGAATTGAAAGCATTTAGAAGAAAATAAAGGAGCATATCTTTAGGATACAGATGTTCTTTTTTAAGGCAGACAGTGAAACCATAAAGGTAAAGATTGATAAATTCAATCATTTTAGAAGCAACAGAAGTAAGTAGTATTGTTCATCAAAAGATACCTTGAAGAGAATGAAAAGACAAGTCACAAACTAGGAGGAAATACTGCAACATATGCTACTAACAAAGGATTATTATCCAAAGAATTCCTACAAACAATTAAAAAAAACCTAACATACTTAAAATATATATAGCAAAGAAAATAGGAACGTCCAAGAAGAGGGAACAGCAGGGGCAAGTAAGCATACGATAATAAACTCAACTTCAACAGTAACCAAGAAGTGCAAATGAAAACCAGTATGAAACATTTTATACCAGATTAGCAAAAATGAAAATGTCCAACAACAGCAAAAATCACAGAGAACATGAAATAACAGGATAAATTACTGCTGGCTGGAGTGTAAACATTTGAAACCACTTTGGATAACAATTTGAAAACAACTGCTCAGGTGTGTAAGAATTCCTCTCCTAGGTACATACTCTGGAAAACATTTGCATATGTGTGTCAGGAGATACATGCACAAATGCTCATAGGTGGATTATTTATAATAGTGAAAAACTGAAAATTACTCAATGTCTCCACAGGAAAATGGGCAAGTCAGAATTTTCATACAATTAGTTATGATATGTCTACACCTATGCATAAATCTCAAACATAATGTTGAGCAAAAAAGCAAGGTACAAAATAATACCTACAATATGATTCTATTTACACAAAGTCAAAAACATGCAAAACTATGCAATATTACTCTTTGAACACTGGTGTGTGTGTGCGTGTGTGTGTGTGCGTCTGTGTATGTGCATAATTGTTCTGGATTTTGTTTGCTCTTCAGTGACAACACTCTCAGAGTTCTGAGTCTTATAACTCTGGCTATTGTG